AGAGACTTTCCCACCCTCTGCCAGCAGAATTTCACTGTGCCCCTTCTCTACCCTCAACCTTGGTCTCCCAGCTGCCAACCAGCACTTCGATTCACCAGCAGCCGCAGGGACAATAAAGGGGGAGAGGGAGTTGTAAGTCTTACATCTGTGTATTAAGAGACTGTGTTTTGGAATCCCCAAATATTCTTGGTCACATGGGTGCCCATTCTATCTCCCAGGAGATTTAATTCTGTTCACCCCTGGATATATTCCTGGTGAAACATTTACAGAGTAATATGTGCTGCACCACTTAAAATTGTTAATTGGAGATTGAATTACTTGTCAGCTTTTAAAAATGTAGTCCTCTCAGGTCAGGGAAAGGAGGGAGTTAGCTGCACTGGGTAGATGAGCTGTTGTGGGGCTGGTTTTGTTTTGTTTTGTTTTTTAATTCTTTTTTGTCTCCCTCTCCCTTTTCCTCTCTCTCATGCTAGTTCCATTCTTTTGTCCCTATTTTACCACTTTCCCCCTGCTTCTGTATATTTCTCGTATCTATTTCTCTTTCTGTCTTAACCCAACCTTTATCAATAACCTGACAGATCCCAGAGTGACTTTAATATCTAGAATCATGGATGAAGTCCATGATGACGTTTGCTCAGGAAATTTAACAAAACCCCTCCTCACATCCTCTTGAGAATGGAAATATCCTAATGAGATAGAGGATTGCAGCAAGGACTCAGCTTGTGTAGTTTAATTCTTAGGCACAGGAGGAATTTCGTACTCCCTGCTTCTTTAAATAGAAGCTTGCCCTGCCTCACCTAGGATTGCTTAAAAGGGGAAAGATTGGATATAGGGGAAAGCAGTGATAGATTTCATTTTTTATTCCATCGACACGTGTCATTATTTTTCACATCTTCAGCACATGATTGCAAATATTTGCCTACGAGTCTCACGGTCTCCAACATCATGTGTACATCAGGACAATAGTAATTTTATAAAAATTGAGCTAAGTTGCATTTGTGAAACTTGGAAATCTCAATGCTGTACTGACAAATATCCCGACAAGTAAATACTACACTTACTCAATATTACATAGTGATTTCATTTGCACAAAACCTCACAATGCTCTGCCACTTCAGTCAAACGTCAGGAGCACCGGGGAAAGGAAGAACGTGTTTATCTTGATCTCCAAAAAGGGATTTAAGGGAGCGAGCAGGCGGTATATTAGACTGTTTTCATTGCCTGTCAGCTATGGTAAACCTGAGCTGTCTGCAGTGTCTCTAGATAAGCAGCAGCAGCAGCAGCAGAGGCCTTAGCATGTATGTATGACTGCATTCGTTTGTACTTATGTATCTCAACATTTCTCTAAGCTAGGTAGCATCTTGGGTGGAACCTTTAACAACTGTGTCTGTTCATCATTGGGTTTTGTCCGGTGCCCTTCATTCTCAGGTCCGCCAGCTGCAATGAGTTAAGTGCTGGATGAGGCTTGTTTATGTGGATGGTGGGTCCTCTCTGACTCGGCCCTTACTCAGTTTTGTCGGCATGGGCACCCCTCAAGACAAACGCTGAGATGGTGCCTGTTCCCGTATTGCTTCTCCGCTTAGAACCAAGGGATAGGTAGCAAAGTGGAGCCTCAGGAGACACCTCTGTCTGATTGGCTCCTGTGTTTACATGGCTATTGATGCTTGTTGGGCAGGTAAAATTTGTATCACGCAGTAGAAAAATGTGAGAGGAATAATTTGGGGAATGAAATATGGCAAGCAACTTAGATATAAATGCCTATCTCCAAATTAGACTGGCGAATGAAGCTCACCTACTGCATGAGAATATTTTGTCGATGAGGAACATTTAACTTAGGTTTTTCTCTAGAAGGTCAGTAGGGCAGCATACTGAAGTATACAAAAAAAAAAAAGGTGTTTCTTTCTATGTGGGCTGTTTTCTTTGCCGCCTAGAGTCTGATCAGGGGTTGAGTACCTGTTCAGCATGATCATTTCAGAGGGAGGTAGAATGGATTCTGTCCTAGCTCAGATTCTGCTTCTTCAGTTAGAGCTTTTGTTGCGAAGTATTCTAAAATCATTAAAACCACTTGAGTCAGCAACGACCCCTATAAATCAGGAGCTATTGTGTGCGCCCTCATTCTACCCGTGTATGCTCCAAACATACGGTCATTGAAGATGAACTGGAGGGTGCTGCTTTCTCTCAGCGATTGTTAAGTACCTATGATTGTTAGCATTTGTTTATGGTTAGTGAAGCAGGTTTCATTTTGTGTGTCCTTGCCCTCCCCATCCCCCACCTACTACAAAAAGGCTGATCAGAGGAAAGCCATTTGGATCATCTGTTAGTCTGTCCTGTAATTTTTCTCTTTAATTCCTAAATTCAATGAATCTTCTCACACGACAAACATTCTTTTAGCCCATAAGGAAGTCCTTGGTCGTGGTAAGCCCTGGTTAGGTTCTTTCTGAATCTGGTGGAGAAAAAAAACATACAAATACCGCTGCCTTTTCAGAACAATGCCAAAGCAGCAGAACCTGAGTTCCCACTTCTAAAGGGAGGGCATGCTAAGTTATTAAATGGCTGCTCCTTCCGAGGTCATCTCCCATTAGTTTGTGAGAATGTGGGGGAGAATGGGCAAGTGGCAGAGTCTCTGACATCACCTGGCTCTGGGTGTTCTCTTCCTTTTTGAAATGAAGGGACAAAGATGTCTAGGGAAGATGTATTTGAACAGCTCAGCATCTCTTGTTCTGCTTTCATCCCTTTTTTCCAAAGATTGGAGAGGTGTGAGATTCTAGCGGTTACATATTTATCCAGGACTGGAGACAATGTCGCATAGGAAGGAAAGCAATGTTCGTGAGTAGAAAACAGCCCCAGCTCTCTCATGTAGGGGACAAGAGGTGCTTGGCTCCTGACATAGATTGTGAATAGCAGACATTCAGGGTCAGTGCAGTATCTCCTTTTTATTTCTTTTCCCCTTTCCAATTTTATTTTAATAATTAAAAATACTGCTGATCACACCGAACGACTTCTGGCAGAGAGGCAGTCTGTCCCAGAAGGACCAGTTGTGGGCCATCAGGTTTATGACATCCATAAAACTGGAGCCAGATCAGAGCGTGGCCTCCCTGAGTGACAGGGTTTCTGCCTCCACCAGAGTCCCCCATCAACTGGCAGCTTTGGATATTTGTTTGGGTTTTTTTGTTGTTGTTGTTCTGTTTTGTTTCCTGATGCATGTGAGAGTGTGCATGTGTGCACACATTTAAAGATATAAATGAAACAGGTATGTAATGCCCTCTGCCTGTTAGAAAGACTAAAGCCATAAAAATAACAAACGGCGTGTATTTGCTAGAATGTCAAAGTTATGAGTTTATTTTGTAATGATGTGCTCCTGCCTTCATGAGGTAAACTGGCCGTGGCGGAGGTGTTATTAGTAATATGGACTCAGTGGAGCAGAAAGCCGAGTGACCGAGAGATCAGTGTATCAGTCAGAGAGAGGGCAAATGGAAAGAGACAGCAGGAGAATGAGAAAAGAGCCGCAGTGCCTGGGCTGAGATTAAAGGCAGACTGAGAGGAAGATGGGAGCCCAGTGGTCAGATTTGGTCTCTCCTGGTGCTGAGGCTCCTTCAGAGGAGGCACCGGTGTGTTGCTCAGCTTGGGGCTACGACAAGGGATGTTCTCTGCACTTCCTTATCAAGGACAGCAGTAATCTGAGAACAATTTTGCTTTCCATACTCCTTTCAGTAGCGTCTATTCCACCCCTTCTAGCTGAAGTTAAATGGAACTAAGGCCAACTGGGTCACACTGAGGTGATTACTTTGGTCACCAACTTCCTCAGCTTCAGAGGGTCTTGATGCAGGGGCTGACCCAGTAAGCGGGAACCTCTGAAAGCACCTAACGAGAAGGGGCAAAATGGGAATATACAGGTAGAATTCGCTGGCCTTTCATTTATTAGGTTCTCCCCAGAGATTGGAAATGAATAAAGTTAGTAAGGAAGAAATTTTGTGTTGTAGTTATTTTCTAAAGGAGGAGGCAGTGGAAAAAGGAAAGGTAAAATACAGTAAGTGCTCTACAACTGTTTAGAGCTCTCCAGGGCTACCCTAGATGACTGGCAATTACTACACACTCAGCAGTTTGCAATAGTCAGTGATCAGACTGCCCGGTTCCCATCTGCTGGGTCAGAAGACCTCCCTCCCTGAAAGAAATTATTAACCAATCTTCAAGGGGAAAAGAAACCCTACAATTTCTAAGTCCAAGAATATTTTTTCTTCCATTTTTCTTCTTTAAACGAAACTTTGTGGTTTCCAGTTGCAGGTACCCTTGGACACCCCACAAGGGTTAAACTCCTCCAGGGGAACACTGCAGATGGAGGCCCTGAATTCCCTGGAACCTTGGCAGGGAAGGATGGGGGATAGGCAGGCTTGGGTATAAATCACTGCCCTATACCCAGTTCAAGGGTTCATGTGTGTATCATGAGTTGCTTCAGGCTTTTTCCAGCCTTAGGGCTTGTGTGGGGGGAAGGAGGGAGAAGAGGAAGGAGGGGTTTAAAAATCAATGTAAGGGGAAAGTAATCCATTTTAAAAAACAAGGACTCGAAACCTCACAGTGTTTCTTTAATAGGTCTGCCACTAAAGATTGTCAGAAGACAGGCGTATTACCTCTTTTATGTATATATACAACAAGTTCGCTATATCTGCACCGTATGTCTCAGAGTCCCAGCATCATCCACCCCTGTGGTTTCTACTCAAAGTGTGTTGTGCTGATATGTGGCAGCCAGGAAAGAAAGACAGAGAAAGCAGAGGAGAGAGGAGGGGCTTGCTGGTTTTTAGATTGCAACAGTACATGTGATTGTTAAAAGCCTTTTTCATTTTCTAAGTTTTCTTTTTAGGATGAAGTGCCAGATTGTCCTTTAGAACAATCCATGGAGGCTGGAATCTCTGTCTTGGGGAGAAAAAAATCATTTTAGTTAGAATTCCAAAATAGACTGCCTTTAGTTCTGTCAAGATGAATGTCTTTTCTCCTGCTTGTTTCTCTAGGTCCTGGGTCGAGAAGTATACACCTCCAATAATCAGCTCGGAGGCATCCAGATCATGCACAACAATGGGGTGACCCACAGCACCGTTTGTGATGACTTTGAAGGGGTTTTCACTGTCCTGCACTGGCTGTCTTATATGCCCAAGGTGAGCCCTTCCTGCCCAGGAGTGACACAGCACACAGCTTATTACCTCCATGTTTGACAGTCTCCCTTTTTAGGGTGGAGGAATTTTTTTTATATGAGATTTTCCTCTGAAAGGTTTTTTTTTTTTTTTTTTTTTTTCCTACAGCCATCTTTGGCCTTCTACCTTTAAAGTGCCATTAGATTTCACTGATTAAGTCTCTCATGTTTTCTAGACACAGAAGCCTTCATGGTCTATCTGGGCTCAGATCCCAGCATATTAAATCTTCCTTCTCATGGTGGTTTTGCTCCTTTCTAATGGCCATCCCTCCCTCTGGAGAGCTTCCCCAAAGGCCTGGGCACACTGAAATCAAGAGTCAGGATGCACACTTTGTGCCAGACTTCTATGTGAGACATGAGGGCTGTGCCTGTTCCTCAGGACTCGCATGCATTGGGATGCTTCTAGCTGACGAGTGGGACTAATGCATGTGTGTCCCTGTGGTGACCAGTATGGTCTGTGTCATGACTTTTACTGAGTGGGAAGATGAGAACTGTTCCCTGATTGCTGTGCTCTTTCCCTCTTGATCTTTTAGAGTGTGCACAGTTCAGTTCCTCTCCTGACCTCCAAGGATCCTATAGATAGAATCATCGAATTTGTTCCCACAAAAGCCCCGTATGATCCTCGGTGGATGCTAGCAGGTCGTCCTCATCCAAGTATGTATATGTTTGAGGGTTCTGTGGTAGCCTGGCCCTCAAACTTTCAGTCTTCCTTTCATTCACTAACCAATTCCTACACAGTCATTTGTGGCAAAGCAAACAGCTACCAAGTACCTGGAAATGAGAGAAATCTGCAAAACAGCTATCTAAAGAAAAAGGTAGATAGTCCTTCATGAGAAATATAAAATAGATGAGATTTACAAATCAGCCTTGAATCATAAATAGTGCAGTCACTGGTATATTCCTTCTGTTTATTCTAGTCCTAAAGCACTTATTACTTAATATATTCAAAGACTTTAATTAAATATAAGCCATAGACTTATAGGACAAGATATATCCCTCTGTCGTGGGGCTGCTTTTTCCTAATTTTAAAAAGAAAACACAGGTAATTCTATGTATAGTACATGTACACACTCATTTGTCAGTTGGTTTGGCTGTTTTTAACAAACCTTCCCTATTGGGTTCTTCTGTGAAGCCCCAAATCCCCCTGCTACATTTGAATCTTTTTTTTCTTTTTTTTAAATACTAATTGAGAAAGAACTTGGGTTTGTTTTGGGGTTTTTTTTTTTTTGCATGTTTATCACAAGTATTTTTTAAAAAGATTTAATCTAAAATAAGACTAGAAAGCAGAATATAGTCACTGAGATTTTATTGAAAAAGAAAGAAGTTTTCATACAGAAGTCTTAACTTTATGGTACCCCCTCTAATCCAAGAGGGACTGTAAAGCACTTCCATATTTATTATCTTATTTGGGCTAACTATCTCTTTAGATAAAAAGAGATCACCATTTTGCAAGCTCAGAGAAGTTAAGTGATTTGTGCAAGGTCGCACAGCTTTTATTTAGGACCTGAGCTTAATGGGAAGCCTGACTATTGATAGTGTAGAAAAATCACCAGAGGAAGCTTGGTTTTTATTTAAAATTTGACCTGTTGTTTTCAATGCCTTTTCTTGTTAATCTTAAAATAGTTTTTCATACATAGTCAAAAAAATTGCCATCATAATTTCCCTACCTCTCATTTTTACACCATAATTACAATGAGAACTATGAATTTAAGCTACTAATCAGTCTTAAAATCCGGGACTTTTCTGGGAAAATTCAGCACAAGACTCAGGGTATGTTTTCCTGGGAAATACAGACAGCCATCTTAGTTGGCTACTAAGTTCTGTGTCTAAACTAGCATGATCTGTCCCTGGAGATGATAAAACCTATCTGACAGCAACCTTAGCTCACCAATGACCACCTTCCTTCCCCAACCCACAGATGAGATTTTTTAAAAAATATATTTATTTATTTATACATAGAAGAACCAGGGCACAGGCCAGATGTGTGGGAGGGTGAGAGGATTCTCCAGAGACAGAGTGGGGAGCGGAACAGGCAGATTGTGAAATACACTGCTGAGGGGAGCAGTGGGCGAGTCAGGAGAGATCTGCTGCGCCATGTAGGTTGCTCCCTGGCCGCTGGGCATCGAACTCATGCTGCAGAGGCTGTGAATTGCTTCATAGTGCGGTGCTTAACCCCTTGCGCCAGCAGGGAGGACCCCCCACCACAGATAAGATTTTTAAAGAAGAAAATATTTCCATTTTGAACTGAATTCTGCAGTACCAAATCATTGTTATTGAAGTAAGAATTGTAAAATGATCCCAATATATAGAAAAATTAAGATTTCAATCTCCTGATGCACTTAGAGGTTTGCTAGAACTGTCATCAAAATTTGAGCCCTCTTTGATGGGGCAAACAGGTGTGTGGGGGTAATATACTGGCCATTATTAATGAGATCCACAGAATAAAATGAAATTTGTGATAAACTAAGTTTTCTGTTTTTTGGATAATATTTTTTCATCCTCTCTCTAGTAATTCATCCTGCTGTCTACGTGCAGCTAACACTCGCTCCCAAATCGAGTGACTTCAGATTTTAATTTAGTGGAAGCGTTAAAGAAAGCAGATGATTCCCTGTGATAAGTTAAAGCAGATATCTTCTAGGTGAAAAGTTAAAGTCATTTATTAGAGGAGATAGTGCTGTGATATTCTTCAAACTGACGCCCAACACGAGACCAGAATCTAAACGATCGGCTTTGGGCTCACGATAGAGAGATAATTTTGAAATGGATGATCACATTTTACACTGGGGCCATAGAGGCAAGGAATGTAGAACACAGTAATTACAAGTTTAGTCTTGATAAAACACTCTCCATCCTGTTTAAGTCAGCAGAGGTTAGCTTGCTCGGATCTCCACTTTTAATTGGTTTTGGACTTGGGTTTTTAGGGGGCGGAGGGCCATGTTCAAATTAGAAGAATCACTGAGAAACCATGAGCTGAGAGGGCAGGCTGGGAAACAGTTATTTGCTGAAGCTTTTATGGGGCCTTGGTCAAACATGGATACCTGTGGAATCAAAGTTTCTTTCTTAAACTAAGATGTTGGAAGTTACATGTCTTGCCAGTGAGCAAGGGAGGTTAATGACATTAAGTATGTACATCCTAACTGTTATAGTTTCACTGTCAGGAGTATATGGATATGGCTCTTTTTTGTAGAAAGATTATACTTTGTTAGTCGCAAGTAAATTGGCTATATCTTGTTGATTTTCTAGCAACAAAACTGGGTCCCTTTTCTTTCCCTCAAATGAGTATCCTCGTCTGATTATTAATACTTACTATTTGGCTGTCGTCACCTTGCCATCGCAAGAAAAATCAGAGAATCAAACAAAATTGTAAGCTAAGTTTTAAAATGGAAATAGACATTTTGAAAACATCTTTAATGAGTTGGCTGCCTTTTGACAAATGTTTGTGGTGTTTTGAAAAAAGCCAAGTTATTTATTTAAAGGCATGCAAACTCTCTGCTAGCTGAACCCCATCGTTTAACAATAAATGATGCTTTTGCTGATAAATGATTCTTTTTATGCAGACTAGCAATGAAATAGGAGATGATGTCTGAAGGCAGATGAACACTCAGCTGTCTAATGCTTCCATCTATTATAATATAGTTAAAAACAACCACAAACTCCCCCCAAGAGTACCCCCAATCCAACCTTAAATTTGTCAATTCCAGTGTATTTTCAATCGATTGACTGTCTTTATTCTCTCTTTGTTTTTCTTTCATTCTTGTAGCCCAGAAAGGTCAGTGGTTGAGTGGATTTTTTGACTATGGTTCTTTCTCAGAGATCATGCAGCCCTGGGCACAGACCGTGGTGGTTGGCAGAGCCAGGTAAGAGCTCTTTTGTTTTGGAAGCTCTTTTTCCTCCCAATTAAAAGCAAGAAAGGAAAGGGTCATTGCTATATAGGTTTTTATCAACAATGCTCTTTGTCTAAACTTTCTAAAAATATTGGATCACCGTCGTGCCCAAGGCAGCACGGCTGAAGTGCTGGTTCCCAGTACTATTTAGTATGTCACTCCAGTGATATATTTAATCTGAAGCCTGATCTTGACAACACTTCCTTCTTATAATGCTGGAAGAAAAGCTCTTTGGGGGCTCTAAAGTCCTACTACAGTAACCAAGGCCTATCAACAACTCCTCCCCACCCAGACCATTTCCCCTCAAAAGTAGGTGACAGTGAATCACACTCATCTCTGTAACCTGAGAGAAGTTCTTTATGGTATCAAGGTTATTTAAGTAACGAATGTACTATGTTGATTTGTCATCAGATTGGACTTGCAGGGAAAAAAAAAAAAACACCCCAAAACTAATCACAACAACAACACATGAAAAAAGTTTTCTTGAAAGAGGAGTAAAATAAGCCAGAATAGGTTGCCAGGATACCTCTATTTTTCAAGTGGGAAATTGAAGTTTCTATTAAATTTTAATACCCACTCTAAGAAGTGCTTCACTCAACAACAAGCTCTGCGCCAAATAATCTGTAGCGCTCACTGTAACGAGCACCTGCCAGGGCTGATCCTAATCTCGTCCTGCACTGCAGAGGCATGCTGCCCCGGGGACCCGCATCTGGAGCTCACCTTCCTCTCGGGGGCAATCAGTTTTCTTTATCTTGGTGAAAAGTGGCACCTGTTCAAGATTCTCAAACATGCCACGTTGGGTTGAGATTTAGATTCTAGCCTTGAAAATAATTCTAGGTTTTGTGGTTCTCTCGGTGCAGCAGGTCAGCCCGCCTCATGCTGCCAGTGACAGGGAGCCATCAGATGGCAAATCTCACAGACGAGATCTTCCGCTGTGACTCTGAACGGGAGGCAGGCCTGGCATGAGCCCAGACTGAAACAGGAACCACCTCTCTTTTTCTCTCATGCCTCAGTCGTCTACCATACCATAGGCTACTGGGTCTCAGGGATTATTATTCTTTGTACTTGGTAAATTTCCCACAGGGATGGTGGTGGTGGGGGATGCACTAGAGAGAGGACCCTGCTATCCAGAACCTAATTGTTTATAATAAGGAGTCCTCACATCACATGGAGACAAACTTTTTCTGAGAATTTGTCTTATCTATTCAGCTTCAGTTTTCCTGTCTATAAAAAAACTTGATAGATTTTAAACCTCACAAAGACAAACCTTTGTTAAAGTCTTTAAGATCCTCCCATGGGAAGCCAGAGAGTAATGCTTTCTACTTATGATTGGAGGAATAGGATTGTTCTGCTACCAAGATCACTCAAGCTTGGCTTTGGTTAGCTGTGCCATTGTTTATTGCGACACTCACTCTGACTTCTTCCTTTCTTTCCATCTGATGAGTTCTGGGCTTCTTACTCCAAACACATACACATGCTCACAAGTATATAAAATACAAATGGAGCTAGCTTCTTTCAAAAGCAATGGCATTTCGAGAAATAAATATAAATGTATTCTTCTGGGATTGTTACTGTAAGTGCTGCCAAAACTCATCTTTGGTATGTATGTTTGGAATATGTGTGCTATTGGCTGTAAATTGTCTTTTATTATTCCATGGCACCTTGTCCAGGGACACACTATAAAACAAGATGTAGCATCTTCATGTGCTAGCCTGATAAAATTTATATGAAGTATAATAGAAAACAGAAGTTGTTCTGAGCTGTTTTCAAGTTCAATAAATAACTGTAATACTCGGATAAAGATGTTCTTTATTAGGTCACATGGGCCCTAATATATAAGTTATAAGTTACCGATTTAGGGTGGCTTTTGCAATTACAAGTTTCCAGTTGGATTGTTAATCATTGTGAACAGAAATATTTCTAAACCCTCCTGTGTACCTCCTGCTCGTTGTCTGGTTGTCTAGAGGGCTTTTGATTCTGATTCAGTGCGGGCAAGTGACAAGGGGGTGGGTGGTCCTCGCTCAGGCCCCTGTCAGGGCTCTGGTGATGACAAGAATCCATTTCCAGTAGCCAGTGTAACAACCAAAGACCATCCTTCATGGAAAAGTTTGTTATGGAGATGCTGTGGGGAATGAGAGACTATAACCCATCCCAGCACCAACCCTAAGGAATGCAGCTGAGAAGATTGAATCACATTTTCCAGAGTAAGGACTCACCCTGTACCTTGCAAAATTCCCTTCCCCCTCCCTGATTTTTACTAGGAAATCTTCACTAGGACTAACTTGGGAGGATATCATGGAGTACAGACGCGGAATCTCTGAGCTTCTGAACAGTTTTAAATTGACATAACTTGGTGATTACATATGTACTTCCAATACAGATCACATTTCACCAAGATTATTACTGAAGGTTTTCCCTGTGCCATTGTTCTCTTCCTGCGAAAGAGAAAGTTAAGGGCTTGTTTAACTACTTCTCTGTCGTTGGCACATATCTTTCAGTATCCAATGACAGCTACACACTCCCCACCCACATCTAGAGGAAAGACCTACTGTGCCCTCGAATCTTACCTGAAACCATGTTGTTCGTACTCCATAGAAACTGCAGCTCTAATTCCAGCAACATCAGCACCCATTAAAACAGTTGCTGCAAGTTTCAGGTTCCTACTGCCTTTCAGATCATTTCCTTCCCTCTTCATCAAAAAGGTGCTCTGGAATGAACTGAGGAATTTCATTTGACCACCACAGAGGAGGGGGTATATGCCCACGTGTGCTTGCATGTATGCATGCTAAGCTGTTGAGTTTAAATACAGCGGCTTGCTAATTATAACTTTGTTTGGATTTATCCTGTGGTGGGGAACAGGGGTGATTCTGAGGATAGTTTTCTACCATATTCACAAAAATTTACCATATTCACCAAATTCACAGTCTCACATTTTACACTTAGAAGGGTCCAATTTCCCCCTGCTTTTCCTACTTGTTTCCCTTTTTTTACCCCAGTGTTTTAATGTGAGATTGGAAAATAAATGACTAGCTGTAATGTTGACGTACATTGGGTTCTTATGTGTCTCATTTTTTATTAGGCTAGGAGGAATACCTGTGGGAGTAGTTGCCGTAGAAACCCGAACAGTGGAACTAAGTATCCCAGCTGATCCCGCAAACCTGGATTCCGAAGCCAAGGTAGATCATCTCAGCTACCTTGTACACCTGTGCTTGGGCTGTGTTTCCCTTCTCAGAGCCTGATAATTGGGAGTTTTGTAATCTACCAAGTTTAGAGGGATTTCAGACTGTGCTGTGTTCACTTTTATAATGATTCTAAATGGACTACAAGCTAAATTCTGCCTGGAAAACTAAATAGGCCTTTAGTGGTCTTGCTGATGCTAGGGAACAGGGTGGGGGTGTGGGGATGTTACAAAAAGGCAGTTGAGATGATTCTGAGGACTCTGGTTCCAGATTCTCTGAGCATATACATGGATCTACTACTGGGACTGATGATGACGTCTGCCCTGACATCAAATGGGAATACCATAGTCCATCTTTTTTATAAAGGTGGATTATGTTTTCACATCCTGATAAGATCCAGAAAATGAGGGATGTGGGAGATTGGGGAGGAAAAAAGTTACTCAGCAGTGTCACATCAAGTGTCTGTTGATTAACCACAGAGCAGGATAAACTGTACTAAGCACAAAGGTGAGAGAACTTGGACACTGTACAGTTAGCTTGCTTTGAAGAGCCAGGGCAGTTGTGTAACTTAAAATTGCCATTGGGCAGTCTAGAATAAGGATTCCCAAGACTGCATTCTTCGAATGCATGAGAAGCAATAAGGTTTCCTTCCTTCGACTAAAGAGTTGTGGTATCTTCAGACTTAAAAAGAGCATTTCATGAACTCAGAGACCAGGATCCTTTCTCCTTTTTTACTTCAGAGATGGTCTTCATGAACAGTAGGTTGTATTTATTTGGTTTGATTTTGAGTTTTTAATCAGTAAAACTTGGAAAGATTCCCCCTCAAATTTGTGTTTTTAATTGTGTCTTCCTCTTTGGCTCCCCCCAACAGATAATCCAGCAGGCTGGCCAGGTTTGGTTCCCAGACTCTGCATTTAAGACCTATCAAGCTATCAAGGACTTCAACCGTGAAGGACTTCCTCTGATGGTCTTTGCCAACTGGAGAGGCTTCTCGGGTGGGATGAAAGGTGATTAGCCTGGCTCCAGCCTAGAGGGGCACAACTGGTTCCCCGAACCCTACAATGGGCAGAGGGAGGGTTCTATTAGGCAGAACCTATGGGCAGCCTGACAGCTTGTCACCCCAGGCTTTTTGGGAATTATCTTCCCTCTGAGATATCTTCTGAGTTGCAACTTGAATGGGAAATTTTGATATGTTTTACAATTCAATATAAAATTTCAAAGCAATCTACTAGTGCTATCTAGGTGGGCTGCTGTTATGGATTTAGCTTTCACAGGTGAATGATGGACTAGTCTCGCAGTCCTGGGGAAATATCGGTGTGCTAGTCTCTGTCCCTCTTTTCTGGGCATACTCTTTGTCGATGTTACTCTTTAATGTTCTGCAGTGACCAAGATAGATTCTGAAATTAGCCTTTGCCAGAAGAAAACGAACAAATTCTATACCAGAGGCTGTTCTTTGTGGTTTATTTATCCAACAGCAGCCCTGTGCCTGTGGCTCCAGCATATTAGACCATTACTGTAAAGGTTCTGCTCCGTCCTCTGAGAATTACTTAGTGATTAGGTAGCCAGTATCACCATTTACTGAGAATCCTCCGTGTGCACAGCCACTGTGGATGGCGCAGGGGAGCCCAAGGTCGTGCTCTACCTCCTGCAGCAGTGAGGCTCTCTCCCATGGACTCATGGCCAGGCTGAGGCCACGAGACTGCCTGCCGGAAGGGGATGAGTGTGCTAACAAGGGTCAACTTCATTCACTGGGACCCACACATGGGCTAAGGGAATGGAAGAAGGGAGGAGTTGATGTGCTGGAGTAAATAGAGTAATCAGAGAATGCTGAAGACAGAAAATGAACTCTTAGTAGGGTGTGGGGCCGGAGCATCTCTAATCCCTGAGGGAGGAGAAGCCCTGGGAAGTCACCCTTTGACAGATGATCAGCAGTGTGTGTGCAAAGACAGGAGCCTGACGCCAGCACTGCCCCTTGCCTCTCCAGGGAAGCCCCTGTCTGCCCAGGCCTCCCTGGCAAAATGTAGGAACGATGGTCTTTTTCATGTTTTGTTTTAGTTAAAAGCTCCCCTTTACCTATATTTGCTGAAGAATCTACCACATTTTGTTCTTTTCTTGAGGGAGACTTGGACTATACATGCAGCTAATGTTTGCATGTTTTCTTTAGATGCTCATGGTGAATTATTTTTTGTCCAAGATAGTAAATCAGTGGAAATACCATGTGATCTTGAGCATCTAAGTTAAGTCAATCCTACACATTTTTGTTGGATTTCTATGTACAAGGAACTATGCCAGCTCCTTCAGAGAAAAAAAAAAGTCAGAAGATACGTTTGCCTTAAGGGGTCAAGAAAAATGTCCTGGGTAGAATAATAATGCCTTTATGGATAAAGTATAAGCAAAATGTCCTGGTGTTCAAAAGAGTATGGTACTCTAGGTAGATTTGGGGGGCCGGGGGCAGGAACCTGGAACCACTTTCATTATTACACATGATGTTCATTCATAGCATCAGATTTCACTTGGCCCCAAATTCCTTGACTGTGAGATTTACATTAAGATTTAGAGAATGCGTGATGATTAGCTCTGTTCTGGGGGGGGCTATGGAAAATGCACTCTGCCTGATATTACTTAGGAGTGACAGCCTGACTGTTTTATCCTAACCAGAGTTCAGGGTTCAAAAGTTTCTGGTATACTGCTTGTAGGAAAAGCTTCTGTTCAGCTACATATTTTGGCTAAGATCCAGATTGGCTGCTAGCCCTGTAACAATAAGAGCAACAAACAATTAAGATTCATTGAGCTCTTTTCACCAGCAACCATGCTAACCGTTTTGTATGCATTAGCTTACATAATCATCACACCAAGTACCTCTAAGGGGTAGGTTATATTGTTTTCCTCATTTTATATAAATGGAGACTTAGGTTAAGTAAATTTCCCAAAATTCATTTAGATAAAAAATGCTGGAGTTGGGAAAGGAGCATAGATCTGCCTGAATTCTTATAGCATGGCTGGCTGATTTTAAAGCCTAGGACTGGAACCAGGTCTACTAGAATACCCCTAGAGAAGAATATCTAGGATTCCAAGGAAGTTATTATCCACCTACCTCCCCTCTGCTTTGGGGTTGGCCTTGGTTATTGCAACAAGAAATGTCAGGAGGTCAGAAATTAGTTATTTTTTTTAATTATAGTAAAATTACATAAAATTTATTATTTTAACCATTTGTAAGTATACAATTAGCAGTATTAAATTCATTCACATCGTTGTATAACCATCACCACCGCATACCTCCAAAACATTTTCATCATCGCCAATAAAGTTTGAACCCATTAATTAAGTCCCCAACCCTCCTTCCCACCTTGGTAAAAAAAATAGTTGCTGGCCTGATATAGACCAAGGCTGGCTCTGTCATCTGAATTTTGGTGCTGCTGCATCTGTTTTCATATCACTTAAGACATATAAGCTTTGGGGAAGATGGCAATCAAGGTGAAGGTAGGAGGGGGAAGAACTTGGTATTTCATATTTACATACAGGTCAGGATGTTTCCTACATATTATCTCATGTAAAAGGACCTAAGCTGAGAGTCATTCCACATCCCTCAGGGAGATGTTTGCAGTTTTGGTTTCAATACTGGCTGGGGATTATGCAGGGAGGGAAAATAAACAATTATGCCATCCCTCAGTGCACACAAACACACAGCCAGGAGCCGACTGCACTGTGGGTAAAATGACTCCAAAATTGTGTGTAATGAGTAGGAAAAGATTAGAGACAGCTCTTGCTATGCTGAAAATTGACATTAGTGGAGGGAAAAAAAAAACTCTTTACTAGTCGGCCTAGGAGGTCTAATTCGAGCAGTAAAAATATAAATAAATAAATAAAAGCATGTCAAGATGGTATTGGTACTTTTTTTCCAATGAGCTCTATCTGGCCGGAAGGCTATTCAGCATAATGCAAAATTAAATTATAAAAACTGGCTGAATATTTAGATGGAAGAGCCATTTGGAAGCAGTTTATTTAGACGAACCGGCAATGACCCACAACAGGGAGACATCAAGCGTGAAATTTACTAGAAATTAGCACCAGGGTCCCAGCCTCAGCATGAATAGCTTGATAGGATGCAAATCCCAGTGATATTAAGCTGCCTCACTGCTGGTGCTACAGGGTCACTCTCAGTTGGCTTTTCATGTTATACTTATTATTTTTTCCTGGGACAGGTTATAAATAACAATAAAAAAACATTTATTGAAAACTTTAACCGGAATGAAAGTCTATTTTAAAGTCTCTGATTACTTGGATGTTGAAGTACAATGTCAGCCAGCCATAATGAACTCATGAGAGACATTAGTGTCTGCAGCTTGTGTATGCCTAATGTTTACCTTCAGCTTCTAACAGATAATCTCACCCCTAGCCAATAAGATCTGTGCCTGTCTCGAGAGTGTGGGGCACTGTGGAAACACCCTACCTCCCTGCCCCTTGTTTGGAACATGTGGCTGCCACCATTTATCCATGTTGTCTAACAACGAAGGCCCTGGGCAGGGTTGGTGTGAGGGTGCTGAGAACACGCCGGAAGGGCTGGGCGATCACCGCTCACGCAGAGGTGCTTTGCCCAGAATGCTTAGAAAGCTCCTCACTCCCGCCTCTCCGGTGAAGAGCCTGTCAGTGTTTTTCGTTCCCAGTTGCACTTAACAGGGCCTGAGAATCGGCAGCCAGCATATGCAGAGCTTTGAAATTGCAGCCTGTTTTCCAGCCTACGCTTTCAGGGCTCTCCCCTTCCTTACTACCGTTGGCTGCTCTTTTGCTCTGTCTCCTAAATATGAAGGGATTTCAGACAAATGTGTGCCAGATTGTTAGCATGTGCAGCCTGCCTTCCAAAACGAGTGGTTTGATTCAGTATGAGCATGTTGTTTGTGGAGTTTGTTTACTTTTTAATAGCCTTAGTTGCTTTTGGGTGTTTTGATGGCTGGGTCATGGTCTGTTGTTGTTCCAGCTTAGATGGACACGTTTTCAGTCCCATGCTTGTCAGCTTTAATGAAGCTTGATGTTCCTGTTCTACTCAGTCTTGAGTCCTGAAGATAATTGTTTGGCAGTCAGATCCAAGCTCTTCACATAGCTGGTAGTATCATCGGTACAATTTCTGACATTTCTTTCTTTTTTTTTTTTTTTTTTTTGTGGGACCCCCGCCGGCGGCCGGGGAACGAACCGGCACTGCAGAGGCTGCGGGCAGCCTCGCAGCCCAGCGCTCAACCGCTGTGCCACCAGGGGAGGCCCAATTTCTGACATTTCTGAACATATCAAAAAATCCAGGCAAGATTTAGAAATAGTCAATCATTTATTCAAGACTCTTTTCTGGTTTTGAGTGTACTCAGCCATTGTATCAGATGCTGAAGAGCAAATGACCTCAGCCTCGTGTTCTTTCCAAGCAGTAAGAAAGATGACGTAAGAATGAGGTAGCAGAATGTAGACTTGAAAGCCAAAAATATATGGGTTCAAGCCTTATCTTGGTCACGTGCTTATTTAACTAAGAGTCAGTTTACTTACCTATAACTTGAACATAAGATTTTCTGGTGATTGAATAATATGAGTGTGATCACGCTCCCTGGCAGACAGCTAGCAAGAATGAAAATGAAGGAAAGGGACCAAGTCCATTTTACTAAAATAAAATGCACACAATCTCAACTTCTCCCCACAGAAGCTATTTGCATATACCTGAAAATCAAGGGTTTTTTTTTTTGTAATTAAATTAGTAGAAGTACATTTTAAATGAAGTCCCCTCCTTTTTGGGGAGCTGTGTCTGTTAATCATAACAGAGATAGATTTTGGTGTACTTACATGTTTAGCATACAGAAGTGAGTGAAGAGACTGAAAACTTTGTCTTCATTTATATCTAACTTTTTTCTTATCACATAGAATGACATTTTTATGCTGTTTTCTGTTCTTTCTCCTCTTCTCTGCTGTCCATTTCTTCCTCACACATGATACCATTGAGGGCCACTTCTTTCTGTTACTTGTTCTGAGACTATACTCTTGGCAGTACTGAAAAATGTACTGCTAATTACACAATTATTTTATTATGTAGCACTGGTTGAAATATCCACTAAAGAATTAATTTAGTTAAAATAATTTGAACTGAGCAATTATTTTCATAACCACAGAATTAGCGTAAAGCGCTTAAAGTCCTTTATTCCCTGCTCTTTATACAGCAGTTGTGTAATTAGCAGTAAATTTTTTTTGGTCTTTGCTTTCCTCCCCAAGGAATAAATGTCTTTGCTCTCATCATATATACAGAGGATATGACCATACACATTCCACACAGAATTGGGATTTTTTTCCTGGAGCAGCTTCTGAAAGTTTGAAATTTCAGAAGTCTTCCCAGATCAGCCAGGTTGGGACCATGGAGAAAGGCAGTGCTTTGCAGTGAACTGTGTTCACTGATGGTTTTTATAGAGAGAACCATTTTTATTTTGGAGTAGGTGGCAGTTTAATTTGTCAGTAACTACAATGCAAGCAGTTTCTATTTGGTTTGCTCTTAACTTCCTGAAAAATGTTTCTTTGCTTTGGATTTTCAGAATTGATTTATTCCAAATTGAGATCCTCCCTTTGATAGGAAAGTCTGAACTTACTTGAACCTGTTATTTGGTGTTTAGAAGGGATGCATGGTGGTTCCACTGAAATACTCATTAAACATCTGGAATCATAAACCTAAAACCTTAGGAATATTTAGTCTTCAGTGAGCTATGAAAAAGGAAGAAGTCATACACTACTGAGAAATAGTCAACTGATCTTGCCTTTTAAGCACTCTGTATCAGGGGTTCCTTTTCTTTAGGCTGCTCCTGGCTTTCAGGGGATTACAAAGTGTACCGCTTTACAGAATGAAGCATTAGTTCCTCTTTATGTGGCTATGTGATATTTCCAGTAAATATCTATGCACTTAAAGTTTTTTCTTTTATCAGTACCCTGATAAAAATGCAACTGTTAAAGAATTAAATTTTTTTTCTGTCTTGTGTTCATTCCTAACTGTGTACACATTCATTCATCAGCAGACACTTACTGAGCACCCACTACGTTCTAGGCACTGGGCAGGACACTGGGGGATACAAAGATCAAAGGGTACAGTTTTGATGATAAAATTCTTTAAGGATCCATTTCCATTAGCTGCACATTTTAAGAGCTTATCGTATGCTAAGTATCATGAGAAGAATTGAAAAGAGCTTGAATAGTTCCTTCAGAAAACTTAATGTAGTGAGAGAGATCACATATTGACATGAAAAATACTCACGTTTGTAGAGCAAGTGTGAATTAATGTGGTGAAACCTAAGTACAGAAATTCAGGGAGGATGTAAAATGGATATGCTATGCACAGGACTCACACACTTTATCTTGTGAGAGGCAGTATGCTTCTCTTGTGCTTTTGAAGACCCCTCCAGGAGTCCAAATAGGATACAGGTGGAGATACCAGTCCCTTTAGTCTTCAGAGTAGCCAAACAAAACCTGGGTGGCTGACCCAGACCTGCCCTCCGGGCCACTAGCAGCCTCCTCCTGCAAGCACAGTGTGTCATACCAATATTAGTATGTGTGCCACAGTCTGAACAATGTTCAGAAGCACTGCTTTTGAGAAGAATGTGTCTTCGTGATTTCTAATTTGTCTCATTCTCCATAGATATGTACGACCAAATCCTGAAGTTTGGTGCTTACATTGTGGATAGCTTACGGGAGTGTTCTCAGCCCGTGATGGTCTACATTCCTCCCCAGGCCGAGCTGCGGGGTGGCTCCTGGGTTGTGATTGACCCCACCATCAACCCCCGGCACATGGAGATGTATGCTGACCGAGAAAGCAGGTAGCTTCCTTATTTCCACAAACTGCCTTAAAGGATCTCTAGCAGTTGGTTTCTTCCTGGAGCACATTATAGCCAAGAGAACTTTATTTGAATCTGTCCATGCTCCAAGGTCAGAAAAGGCTTTCTACAGAGTGTCTGCTGGCATGAGTAGGAAACCAGGCTGGAGCCAAGCTTTCTCGGTGCTGTAAATTGTCCAGATTCTTTTTACCTGAAAGTTCTTTGTACCAGACAGCCCCAAACTCAGAGATAGCCCCCCTTTTTTGTTGTTCAGTTATGCCTATTCACTCTCTTTCTTAGGAATGTGGCAGAGAACGCTTAAAGGAGTTGGAATGGAAGGACTGAGTTGTTAGTCTGGGGTTCTAGAGTCTTGACCCAGCTCTGCTGCTGACTGGTGAGGAATGTGAAACAGTCCTAACTGCCTGGGCTGCTGCTCCTTGTCTATGGGACAAGCGGGGTGGTCACTGAGGTGAACCACAGCACCTGCGTTCTATGAGTCCAGACCACAGCTGCTCTCTGCAGTCCAGGTTCTCACTCTGGCTCTCTTGGAGGCTTGGAGAACACAGTATTTGAAACACCCACAGGACTGCAGAGAAAATCTTGGCTGTAGCTGGGAGGTGGTACCTGAAAGTACTTGAGTAAAACAGATCAAGTTAGCTTCCTTCCGTGATCTGTTTCCAATCCTCTCCAAAGTAGGTAAATTTCATAACATATCTCCTTGACTTTTTTTCCATGCTAGTTCCTCCATCCAGTCATTTTATTAGAGCATGTGTGTCTCTCTTTCCCCAAAAACTTAAGTCTCCTACTATAAAGGCTACTTAGGAGATTTTAGTAGTTTTATTATTTAGTCACTAGCCCAGCATTCTGTACCTGGAGATTTATTATTTCTAGTCCTCACCTAGCCCCTGATCTATCTGGAATAAGACAAGTTTCAGATCTAGGTCTGTCACTTGTTGGATTTAACTTCCCATACCTTAGTTTTCTCAGCTAACATATGAGAGTACTTACCTCATAGTGGATATAGACTGGGTATGGGATTGTTAAGATTTATATGTAAACACATAGAACAGGGCCATGTACATGACAGTATTAACTGTCAATTTTATTTTTAATGTAGAAGTTTTTGGTTTTTTGTTTTAAGAAGGAACCCAGGGTAAGATTCCTGATAATAGATCACCATCAGTATGCACTAGAAGTAACCCAGGGACCTTTCACTGTAACCCCAGTAACCTAGGGACCTTTCACCATGATGCTTCCGTGGCACTAGGCAGACATCTTATCTGCTGCTTGACGTGGCCTAATGTGTAAGCTGTGTGTGGTGCTGAGCAGCATCGACCCCTCATTGTATGGCCTGATGGCTGGGGGCTTTTCTCTCGTCACTGCACTTATATCACCTTTTTTTTTTTTCCTGGACAATAATGTAATTTCTATTACCCTTATCAGCTGTAGGTGGTGGAATCTGTATTCTTCTCCCTTTGAGATGGAAGTAGACTGGTGTGGTAATAAGGATTATTTTAATTGCTTTTTGCCACACTTTTCCCATACCTTCTCTGGTGCCTGCTCCTCTCCCAAGGGTTACTTCTGTGAACCGTGGGTGGGCAAAACCATAATGAAGCTATTTCCTGGTCCACAAATTGTAACTGGCCTCATTCTGTTGTATCCTTCCTTAAAGTGCCCCTATTTCTGTTTTGTTTTCTTTCTCTCTGATCCAGGGGATCAGTTCTGGAGCCAGAAGGGACAGTAGAAATCAAATTCCGCAAAAAGGATCTGGTGAAAACCATGCGTCGGGTGGACCCCGTCTACATCCACTTGGCTGAGCGATTAGGTATGTCTGCTCATCCTCCTGGCAAATCAATGAGCCATTCAGCTGATTTGTAATGAGTGCATTCATAGGCCAGGGGAGGAGGCACTGAAGCATTTGATCAAATTCATGATAATCTTTATTTACTGTCCTCTATATGGTAAGAACCCTGGTAGAATGAAATAGTGTGTGTAATAGAAGGCAAAGTAGGGCCTAAAAAAGCAAAAGTCACCCGATTTTTCTTCTGATATTTCCTTATAGTTCAAATAGCCCATCTTTCTAGGCTTATGGATGTCCTTGCACAGAGTGAGTAGCTGGAAGTGGCTATTGGGGGCAGGCTACCCAAGCAGAGAATATGCCGCACTTCAATGTCCTGTCTCTGCTTGTCTCCTTGGACAAGCCCGCCTCGTTTCTGAGGGATGTGAGTCAGTATCATGGATAGAAAAGCAGAGACCAGCCCAGCCAGTGCTCTGGGGCCATGCTGAGCTGGAGAAATGGGAGTTTAGAATGTGGGCTGTTTGCCTCCCGACAGAGGCTGCGCCACAGTGGCCCGGGAGCTTTTGCACTTGATGCTGCCAGCCATGACTCTGCTGCTCATTTGTTTTGGGCCTTTTGGAAGGTGCTTGCATGTGAATGTAGGACTAACTGTGGGAGCCTGTGTTGAGTCCAGAGTCTGAGTTCCAGATTCTTTCAAAACACGAATTTTCTGCCAGATCTCCCATTGAGCCCCTTGCTATGTTAGAAAGGATAATGCTCGAGGTGCCGTTTGCTGGTTGGTTTGTTTTGTTTTGTTTTGTTTTTTAAAGGAATGAGTATTATCTTTAAAAGATAGTGAAACTCTGAATGGAAAGACTGAAAATGAGAAACTGGCTCATTTGTGTCCCAAATAGTAATTTAATTACTAAAATGCCATTTGTGGTTCTATCTTCTCACCATCTAGAGAAACAGAAACTTCTGTGGGTTTGCTTGTCTTCTCGAGACCACATGTCCTGTTGTTTGCAGCCCTGAGCCAGGTTGCTTGCCACACATAGTGACTGTAGTTGCTCTAAACCTTGTTTGTGTCCCATTGCTTGCCATCAGGTAACAGCCACCATTAACTAACCCACTGGCAGTTTGATCCTTTTATGGGAAATGCACACATACAACAAGAAATTGGCAGAGTTGTTTATAAAATCTATTGCCACCCAGAATTGTTGAGGTGGGTTTTTTCTCTTTCTTCTCCAAACAGGATAATTATTTCTGACCAACCCCATACACTTTAATTAAAGTAACTGCAGCTCAAGAGCAAGTTACTTACAACTGTACATAGAGAGAGCTCTAAAAGCTTCAGCCACTGATAAGCATCTCACTTCGATGGCTCATAATTGCTCCCAGCATCCGGCGATCGTTGCTGCTGTTTTTACTACTAATTCTGTACAAAAGCAGCAATGCCACAATTGCAGGACACAGCGAATTGCATAATTTTCCCTTTTTTCTTCTTTTTTTTTTTTCTTTTTCTTTTTTTTTCTCTTTTTTGCTGGTTTTCTTTCTGGCCAATTTAAAATTTGTCAAAGTCGGTCTTCTTCTGGATCACTGCCCTTTGATATTTCGCGCACTCCATTTGCCACAAACAAGCCGCAGGGCCGCAGTTCATGCTGACTCTAGCAGAAGCAGAGAGAGCTCCATTTATCTTACACTGCCTGCTGAATTCCTACTCATTAACTGGGGGTTCACTGCCTCTTTTTAACCCCCCAATGGCTGTTATCATCCCTTCAGAGTAACTGGGTGGTAGGAAGAGGGATCCTCTCTGACATCTGTTTGCAGAATGACTGGATGGTGAGGGGTGTGGGGCTGAAGCTTCTTTCTCTTGAAGGAAAGTGATATCGCTCCCACCTTCACCCAGCACCTTTTAACTTTTGAAACCCAGGAAGGGGAGAGGGAGGAGACTGCCAACTGATGGCCATTTAATCATTTGTTACAAATCATCCCATTATCAATTTCCTATTCTCATTGAAGAAAACTATATTTATTTAACCTTGACCAAAATGGAACTAGAGAAAGAATCCTCAGTCTGCTAAATGTGAAACAGGCTCCGGCCCAGGGCAGCTTGGGAACATGAGCAGTGGGTCTGGAATAAAAATAACTGTATGAGTCTCGGGTATGTTGCTCGCAGGTAAATTGTTTGAATGTCAGTTTTTTCTCGTACAAAGTGGAGATTACACTCCCACCCACCCAGCTAATGTGAAGATCAGATGAAGGTGCATTTGCTTTGAACCTGTGAAGCATTTTTTCAAGCTTGGGATTGGCATCATTAGAAGAGAGGGCTGTGTTAGGTCTCCAGCATCCCCTGTGGCTTAGGTCCACTGGGGAGCAAGTGGAATCTGAAAGGAAATAGAAAAAAAAGACATGGTCTTGTCTTGTAGGCATTTGCAGGCTTTCAGGGAGCTCACACCCCCAGGTCACCAGGGAGATAATGGAATATGCTGTGAGCCCAGCTTCTTTTGAGTTCACCATGGCTTTTGGCTCCTCTCAATGCCTGCACCCCAAGACTGTCAGCATGCTTTTTCACAGAGTGAGTGAAAATGATCTCATTTTCCAGATTGGAAGATTGAGGCAAAAAAAGAAATTAAATACGTCATCCGCAGTACAAATAAACGTGTCAGCGCCAGAATGGGTTTCTGCTTCCCTCCGTTCTACTTTTCTCAGAATTTCCTCAGATTTTACCTCAGCTGAATAGTGAGCCTGGTCAAAATTAAGCAGGAATCCTTTTCTTTTGTGATGTAAAGCCAATTCCACCGAGAAAGATCTGATTTAGAAGAAAGCCTGTGGGAGTGGATGTTATCTGCTGTTCCCAATCTCCCCAAATCAGCCTCCACCCTGGGGAGCATGCTGCCAGGGCCCTAGACAAACCAGTGCACAGCGGAGAGGTTGTTCAAAGCACGATTACTACTTCTCTAAGGGTAATGAGGAACTCCTGACAACTAACTTCATCTCTCAGAATTTTTATTTTTAAAAATGACTTTTTGCCATTTTGTGTAGTTAGTTTGGGTCGGAAGGTGCTGAATACTAGTTTATAGACCTGTGATTATGAAAGAGTATGAAAATAGTACATTGATTTCTGATAGAGGTCAAGGGAACTACCCCAGAAAGACAGGTGAATTAAGCCCAAATGCTAGCCTTGCATTGCTGGACAGTTCCAGGCCTGGGTTGTCAGAGCTCGGTTAGTCACTTTGGGATGGATAGTGCCCTGCTCTGGTTATCTAGGAAAATTAAATCCCTCCTCCATATCTAGAGCCTCAGCCTTTCTAGACCTCTTGGTGTCCCTCTGACATCCTTCTGCCCCCTCACAAAGCCAGGAGCGTGGCTGCGGAACAGTGCGGCCTTCTGAGCCTGGCCTCTTGAGTGCTGTGACCTCGGGTCTGCTCCTGGATCCTCACCCTCTTGCGTGTTCAGAGGGAAATGACAAGCCAATTCAGAGAGAGAACTGCCCAGACCAAGTGTGAAGCAATTGTATGTTTCTCACTGTCCCTCTCCCTCAATACAAGGAATACAGGAGCCCCTTCGTAGAACTTCATTGTGCTCCAGACATACATCCCAGTCATGGCCTCGTTCCTTAGACAGCCTGGCTGCCTGCCAAGTAGCACCTCAACTGGGCCTATACAGTGCTTGCCCTGGGAGAGATGGGCTGACAAGGCACTGCCCTTCCAGCCGAGTCGCACCCAGAATGGAGTGCTGTACTGGGTGAGGATCAATGTGTGTGTGACAGCCTCGGGGCGGACCTTCCTCCCCAGCCTTCACTTAGCAGCCAAGATGACAGGAAAGGGACTCTTCCTTGGGTTAAAGGGATTCAGGGTTGAGCTGCTTTTTGGGCAGAAGTATTCAAAGTATCTGAGCTGGGGCCTCCCCGGTGGCGCAGCGGTTGAGCGCGGGGTTGCGAAGCTGCCCGCGGCCTCTGCAGCACCGGTTCGATCCCCGGCTGCTCCCCGGCCACCGGAGGAGGGTCCCACATGGCTTGCAGACCTCTCCTGCCGCCCGCTGCTCCCCTCAGCAGTGTACTTCGGTCCTTCTGCCTGCTCTGCTCCTCGCTCTGGCTCTGGTGAATTCTCTCACCCTCCCGCACTTCTGACTGTACCCAGTGCATGTATAAAAAAACAAACAAACAAATAAATAAATAAAACATGCCTTAATAAAAAAAAATTAAAAAAAAAATTAAAAAAAAAAAAAAAAACAAAGTATCTGAGCTGTGTGTGCTTTTCCATTTGTGTCCCCTCTTCAAGATACCATAAGCTGAAAAGGGTCAAAGTTATTATTTGAGGCAGAAAGCATGTCCTTCCCTGAAAAGTTAAGCCTTAAGCCTGGGAAAGATGTTGGGAAGTGGCCTCTGGCCTGCTCTCCCATTGCATGTGGAGTATCCTCGCTGGCACCATGGCCACCCAAGTGCTGGGCTCTGTGGGAGGTAGGCTGAGGAAGACACATGAGGTTTTCTGCCCCAAAGGAAGAGACTGTGGGATCTTGCCTCTTCAAGTGAGCAACAGCTTACAACCTCATCACATTGATACAGAAGCTTGTTGGCTTGATGCACTTCAGCGCAATGGTAACATTTCCTGGGAAGGAGAAGCAGTGGTTCGGACTGATCCATTCATCTGGTTGTGCTTACGAGAGCAACTGGGCTTGTCTCTTCCCAGGAAGTACCATTCACAGTTCTCTGTAGGCTGCAGGGGTCTGGCAGGCATTTTGTGAGACTGAACCTAAGCTCCTCCTGCCTGCATGCAGGCTGTTGTCAGAATGGGTCTGAGCCACCCTCTTCCCTTGGGTCCCTGCTGGCCCCGGTCTCTGCCTCTCCACTTGTCCTCCTGCCCTGTTGCCACTAGGATTTAGAGAATTCTGTGCTGTTTCTGGACTCTTGTGTGGAGGTGTTTGGATGGAGGCACTGAGAATAGGACTGGGGGTGGGAAAGGATGGGGATGGAGTGGTGGTAATACTTTTTTTTTAATATTTTATTTTATTTTATTTAAAGATTTATTTATTTATACATAAAAGAGCTG